AGTTCTGGTGAATTAGAAAATAAACACAATTGTCACACTCTTTCTCTTTCTGGGTCCTTAGAGAAATCTCAAAGATAACAAAATATAGACAGGAGGTCAGCACTCATGAATCAGATTTCATCTTGATAGCCTTTTTATAGACCTATAACAAAGTGGAACTCTGAAAATTGTGTTAGGTAATAGGGATTCTGACAGACCCTTTAACTCCATGGAACTGGGAGGGGCTGCTATAATTCTGCTGCTTCAGATGAAAATTTCAAGTGTTTTCATTAGGTACAACAGCTGTTTCTATTACAGATAACAGATCTCAGAGGTGGTGATGCTGATATCAACTTCTAGTGGGCTCAGAACACAGTGTAGCTTGTACAATTAGCTTTTTTAATTATTTTTTTTCTGCACATGCAAATTAACTCTGTAGCAGTAAAAGGAAATTACTTACTTGCTACCGGAATCGTCTGAAAGTGATACGATCATGCTTTGTAGCGTCACATTAACCAAATTAAAAGCCCTTGGGAAAAATTTGGCACCCTGTTCCTTCCCATTCACATCTTCCTAAAGACCTCTCAAGAGCTTCCATTTAGAAAGCTGGGATCATTACCAGGGCTTTTAATTTGGAAAGATTGGCTGCTCACCAGTGAGTCTTTCTAGTTACCGGGTGGTTGGGTGGAGTGGTTCTGAGGTGTTCCAATCTCAGAGGCCTTGAACTTGACTATTCTCCTGACTCCTGCTTGCTTGCAGATGTCTTCCAGTCTGGGGCCCCGATCCATGGCTCCACTGCTAAAGCTTATCTCTAAGATGGATGCTATCACCTCATTCTCTCCACAAATGCACATATCACTCCATTTTGAAAAACTGAAATATGTTTCTCCAATCCTGTGATTCAGGGCTGGCCTATGACTGCTTTGACTGATAGAATATGGTGACAGTAGCTATCCTAGATCTGGACTTAGTCTTTTAGAAGACTGATGGTTTTTACTTCCTTTTTCTTGAGATACATCCTCTTGGAACCCAACTCTTGTGCTATTTAAAGCCTAATTCACATGGAGAGGCCATATTTAGGCACTGCAGTCAATGTCTCAGCTGACTAATATCAAATATCAACCATATGAGGGAGCCATCCTAGAGTTGAGAACATTTTAGCTGTCAGGTGACCCCAGCCCAAGGCACAGAAGTCATCTGATTGAACTGCAGGAGAGATACCAAGCAAGAACCACCTGGCTGAGTCTAGTCAACCCATAGACCTGTGGGAGATAATTTTCTCCTAAACCACTATATTTGGGATAGTATTTAATACAGCAGTAGAGTAACTGCAGTGAGGACAAAGTGTGAAGCTGCTGGCTAAGTTCTCCTGTGAATGTGGACATCAGATCACTAGCTTAGGGTCAGGTGAAACTTTACCTACAAAAAGCAGGCAGGTGTAGACAAATGTCAGTCACTCTTCCACCTTTTTGGCTGGAATTTCATAATTGGACTATTCTGTTATCTCTTGGATTTGTAAATATAAATATTTACTGTACAAATGCAAATATTTCTTGGAGGGATAATGGTTTAAACCAGGATACAAGGGTACAGCAAACTTTTTTTTGTTTACGGGGCTTCCCTGATGGCTTGGTTGCTAAAGAGCCTGCCTGTAATGCAGGAGACCCAGGTTCAGTCCCTGTGTGGGGAAGATCCCCTGAGGAAGGGAATGGCAACCCACTCTAGTATTCTTGCCTGGGGAATACCATGGACAGAGGAGCCTGGCAGGCTACAGTCCATGGGACCACAAAAAGTCAGACACAAACTGAGCGACTAACACTTTCACTTCACTTTTCAGATAGCAAATATTTTAGGCTTTGTGAGCTATATGGTCTTCATGGCAACTATTCAACTTAGCCAAGGTGACATAGATAATATTTAAATGAATGGCATGGCTATGTGCAGTAAACTCTATTGACAAAAATAAGTACATGGTTGGTTTTGGACCTATGGGCTGTGGTTGGCTACCCTCTGTGCTAAACAATTCTTTCCGTAGTAAGCACAAATATTTAATTATATTGCTTGACTCCCATGAGCCTTGGGTTTGGTTTACCTCTAGCTTTGGTTTGCCCTATCATTCCTTCTTAGTCTCTTTTGTAGAGTTTTCCTCCTAAATTTAAAATGTGCTCCTCAAAGCTGTTTTCTCATTATTTGCTCTTTCTCTGCCATGCCACTCACTCAAGTGATTTCAGTTATCACCAATTTGCCAATGATTTAGAGATCTCTATCTCTATCCAGTCTTCTATTGAGAACTCCAGACTCCTATATTTCACCTTGGATATCTTGCCCTAGTTTCAATACCCTAACTTCAATGCACTTTTGTGCCAGAGACCCCATGGACTGTAGCCAACCAGCCTCCTCTGTCCATGGAATTCTCCAGGCAGGAATACTAGAGTGGGTATTCATTCCATTCTCCAGGGTATCTTCCTGACTCAGGGATCAAACCCAGGTCTCTCACACTGTAGACAGATTCTTTACTGTCTGAGCCACCAGGGAAATCCAGTTATTGGCCTTTTGTCCCTTAACCCCAATGGGGCTTCCCTGATAGCTCCGTTGGTAAAGAATCCACCTGCAGTGCAGGAGACCTGGGTTCGATTTCTGGGTTGGGAAGATCCCCTGGAGAAGGGAAAGGCTCCCCATGCCAGTATTCTGACCTGGAGAATTCCATGGTACAGTCTATGGGGTCACAAGTCGGACACAACTGAGTGATTTTCACTTTCACTTTCACCCTTTGATGCTGGGGCTGGAACTCTGTAAACTCCATTTCTGTTTTGCCAGCTCTTTGTCTCCATCAACAGGGAGCGATAGAGGGGCACTGTAAAATCAAAGGAGAAAGGAGGGACTTGCTGCTTCTTGTTTATTTACTGCGGACTTCCTGTCTTTTTGGGGTTCCTGTGAGCATCTATTCAGTAAAGGTTCTTTGCTCTAGAAATATACATTCTTTTCTGTAGTGGCTGTGAAATCTAGTTTTCCCAAAAGTTGCCAAATAACCTCCATTAAAACTGCTTTCCTTCCCTCCCCATCAGCACCAGTGGGTTACTGCCCCCTCCTCAGAAGTCTTTCACGACCCCTCCTCCAAGCTCGGGGACACTGGTATCAGCTAAACACTACCTCCTAGTAGGAGATCTGAGCTATGGCCCAGCCAGTCCCAACTCCAAGTTTCAATAATTGCAATCTCTTCCCTTTGATTCTCCAGCCCTTAAGGGATAGTAGCTGTTTCTTTTAATGGTTCCATTGTGATCAATTGTTTTCCTTTTCAGTTACCTAAATTTTCATACCCAGTTAACCACCCTGTATATTAACTTCCTTTTCAAATGCCTGGTATGCTTTCTGTGGATTCTGAAAGTGTTTATGTTCTCAGCCAAAAGCTGCTTCTTTGAAGTGTTTCCTTCCTTCTTTGTACCAGCAAACTTCTCCCTATTCCCCACCTGGTGGCTCAAGCCCAAAGTCTGAGCATTGTTCTAACTTTTTCTGTCGTCTAAACTCCCACATGCAATCAGTAAATAAGGCCTGTGGATTTGCTTCCTGAATATTTCTTATATCTGCCTGCTTCTCTCCATTTCTGTGCCCACCAAAGTAGATTATGCTACCACCTTATAACTGACCTCCCCAGATTTCTGTAGCCTCAGTCTGTTATCCCACCACAGCCCTAGAGATATCTTGAAAATATTTACCACATAAATACTTCCTGAAACATTCTAAATCCTGAACATAATTTATAAGACCTTCTGTGATTTGATTTCTCCTGCCTTTGCACTTCATTTTAAAACATGTTCCTTGTTCCTTTGTCAGTTTTACCATGCTTTCTTAGCATTCTTGGTACAAAGTTTTTCCTCCGTGTAGAAATCTCCCTTTTTATCTAGGTAGCTACTACTATCTTTTGAATGTTTTATAAATATCACTTTCTCAGAGATGGATTTTCTGACCTCTCAGACCAGATTATATTCCTCTATTTGTTCCCATAATCACTGAACATCCACTTTTAAAATATTTATAAACATTTAAGTAGCTGCTTCTTTCCTAGGTGGTAAGGCCCATATAGGTAGGGGCTGTGTTTGTCTTGCCCAGCAAAAGGTCCATAACACACAGTGATCTTTCAGGCATAGTAGATATTCAACAAATATTAGATGAGTTCAGTTGATTTCTGTTCTATACATTCACCCTAGGTTCTCTGAATTGAAGAGACACATTTCTCTGAGACACAGAAGAGACACATTTCTGCAAATGCATCAAAATCCCTCATGGCTGACTTTACCTCTTAAACGGAACAGTTTTTTTCCTCTCACATCTCCTGACACCAGTTTTCCCTTGCGCGTTCTTACCAGAATTGGAGGAGACTGAGTGGGGAGTACATTGATCAGAATTTATCACTTTCATCTGGACTGTAAACCAACACCACTCCTTCCTACATTGTCAGAAGGTCTTGTGGTATCACACAAGTCTCCTGAGTACCTGGGGCCAGGTGCATCTCAGGGCTTGTTTTGTGTAACTCAGGTAACCAATGAAGAGATGTTCTCTGACTTGTTAACAACCAGTATGTCATCTCTTCACCCCAAACATCAATGTAAGAGTTTTCTTCTGGTTCCCTGAAATGTAGCCATTATTCCCCAAGTGCCAATTACAGGAGAAAGGGTTGGGGAGCAAATTGAAACATTGATGAAGGGGCTTTAAATATATATAATAACCAATAATGAAGGAGGAGATAATGAAAATATAACATGAAAATGAGCATGATAAGAGACCCCTAAAAGTACATGACCACAGTCAGAAATGCAGCAGACCTGAAGGAACAAATTAAATAAATGTCCACATTTCATCTTGGTTATACTTCCAGGGAGAGAGCTACATTTGTTTTAAATAAAACCACCAATAAAACAAGCTGAGGGACTTTCTTTTCTTTTTATCTTTAAACAGATTTGACCCCAAATGGATATTTTCTTCTAGAATAATATATCTTTTTCTCCTTCCACTGAAAGTTTTACCTTTTGAATTGTATTCCACACACGTTCTTTATCGTTTCTTCTTCCTTCAAGGGTGTCCATAGCATCTGCCATTAGTGACTGCAGCTGTGGCACCAAGATAAAAATTATCAGTGTGGAATTCACAAAGAAATAACTTCTCTAAATACACAGATTAAAACCTAATTAAAAAATCATTTGTACGCTGATGATTTTATTACTCATCTTCCTGACAATGAACACTGCCACCTCATTGCTGCTTCAGTCATTACCAAGTATTATTGCAGATATAAAATATTGAAACAATGGGAAGATTCTTCTTGAAAATTTGTAGAAAACATATAGGTTTTGATGTAGTGGGTGTTGATGTTTTATGAAAACAGATTTGGGTTGTAAAGAATGAAGGCAGTAGTTAATTCTCTTCGGAAATGGCATGTAGTACATGAACGTGTTTTAGTGTTTTCTCCTGAGGCTAATGTATCATAATCCTAGGCATCATGCAAAAACTCACCAGAGGACCATACTAGAGTTGTGTTGTTTTATTACCTCTTAAAGGATCTAGCTCATCGAAGTTCTTTTACCATTCTTTTCTTTTCTAAAATTTCAAAATAACCAAGATTTCTCTTTAGGTTCCACTTCAGAGGCGAGTTTTAAAATTCCACCCTTTGCCCCAAACTGCCATCAGTTCAGTTCAGTCGCTCAGTCGTGTCCGATTCTTTGCGACCCCGTGAACCGCAGCACGCCAGGCCTCCCTATCCATCACCAACTCCCAGAGTTCACCCAAACTCATGTCCATCGAGTCGGTATTCCAATTTAAAATAATTCTACACACACGCTGGGGCTTTCCAGGTGGCTCAGTGGTAAAGAATCTGCCTGTTAAGCAGGAGACATGGGTTCAATCTCTGTGTCGGGAAGATCGCTTGGATAAGGAAATGGCGACCCACTCTGGTATTCTTGCCTGGGAAATCTCATGGACAGAGAGGCCTGGTTGGCTATAGTTCATGGAGTCACAAAGAGTTGGACACGACTGAGCAACTAAACAGCAACAGCTCCACACAGACGATATATGTGCCTGGAAAGTAATGAGGCCACATCAAGCCATGTGACATTTGAAGCTGAAAAAGAAAAAGTTCTCTAAAGAAGGACAAATGCCAGTTCAGTTCACCATGGTGTCAAACGTTATGATAATCTTAGATAATCTTTCGGTTCTTTAGATATTTGAGGTAGGGAGTTGAGTCACTCAGAACTCTTCTACTGAGTAGTCACTGTTTGTGTAGCGTCACAAAAGGGATTTCAAGGATATATTATCTAGGTTAACCCATGCTTGGAACTTGGGAAGTAAAATCTATTAAGATGATGAAATCTTGAAAGATACATGATTTTAAAAAATATTTGGTTTGCACATATACATCCCTTTATATTTACTTTTTTTTTCTTGGTAGGTATATAAATTATGGGACATAATTTATATGTTCCATGAAATCTTATTTTTCAAGGTTTCAGGTAGTGGAGTATAGCACGGATATATTAGTTAGGGATGTCAGTAATGCTAGTTTCATGCTCTTTTGGTATATTTAAAAATATAAGAATTTCCAGAAAAAAGAAAGCTGCAGATGTGTGGTTAAGAAGACCTAAGTGCAGAAAACTCCCCTGTATTTTTCATTTAAATCTTGAGTGTGCTTTTCAGGAAGACAGGATCAACATTGTGCCAGCTTCTTAAATTAACATTTTCTTTGCTTTCTCTTATCTCAGAGGAGCATTAATCATCTAAAATTGGCTATAATATGCACTTTGAAAGCTCCACAGTCACTACACTCCTGAATGCCTTATGAATGGTAGGATAAACACTTAGCCTTTTAGAAGGCATTCTGTGCATAAAACCATACAGATTTATAAAGTATTATTGCCAGTTTTGACTTAATAATTACCTGACTAATAGACTTTTTTTTCCCTAATAGTTTTAATATTTGGTATGCAGAATTTTATTATTTGGCTACTCCAACAGTTTTAAATGGTTACTTTGAGTATCAATATTTATTTAATATCCTTTTGCAGATTCAGATGAACATTATAAATGTTGGCAGTTCATTTCTTGATTAATTTGTTACAACTTTCAAAGCTCAAAGAGGGAGGATTCCTTTAGTTATCTGAAAATTACAGGTGATAATTTTAGGTTGTTCTCATCCTTACTTTGTGAATTCAGTCAGGTCTGTAATTAGTTTTCACTACCTTCAATTAGAGCCTTAGAGTAAAGAGCCCTTCCCAACAACACATCAGCTTTATATGGAATAAATTTTACCTTTCTTTGAATGGCCAGCACACTGATTGGTAATTGTTCTTCAAATGCGGTGCTATAGTTTCTAATATTATGGTTATAATATATATGTCTGCTTGAAGATTTTTTTCTGTAAGGTATTTCTCCAACTATTTTTTAAAAAATGTGTTTATTTTTAATTGAAGGATAATTACTTTATAGTACGCAGTGGTTTCTACCAAACATCAACATGAAACAGCCATAGGCTTACCCATGTCGCCTCCTACTTGAACATCCCTCCCTCCTTTCTCCCCATCCTGCCCATCTAAGTTGTTAACAAGCCCGGGTTTGAGTTCCCTGAGTCATGCAGCAAATTGCCATTGGCTATCTATTTTACATACGGTAATGTATGTTTCCATGTTACTCTCTCCCTGTCTCCATACCTTCCACCCACTCCTTCTTCCCTTCCCAACCGTGTCCATAAGTCTGTTCTCAATGTCTGTGTCTCCTTTGCTGGTCTGCAGATAGCTTCATCAGTACCATCTTTCTAGATTCCATATACATATGTGCATTAGTATATGATAACTGTTTTTCTCTTTCTGACTTACTTCACTCTGCATAATAGGCTCTAGGTCCGTCCACCTCATTAGGACTGACTCAAATGTGTTTCTTTTTATGGTGGAGTAATATTCCATTTTACATATGTACCACAACTTCTTTATCCATTTCTCTGCTGATGCACATCTAGATTGCTTCATTGTCCTAGCTTTTGGAAACAGAGCGGCAGTGAACATTGGGTTACATGCATCTTTTTCAATTTTGATTTCCTGAGGGTATATGCCTAGGATTGGGATTGCTGGGACATATGGTGGTTTTATTCCTAGTTTTCTAAGGAATCTCCACACTGTCTTCCATAGTGGCTGTATCAATTTGCATTCCCACCAACAGTGCAAGAGGGTTCCCTTTACTCCACACCCATCCCTGCATTTATTGTTTGTAGATTTTTTGATGATGGCTTTTCTGATCAATGTGAGATGACTCCTCATTGTAGTTTTGATTTGTATTTCTCTAATAATGAGTGATGTTGAGCATCTTTTCATGTGTTTATTAGCCATCTGCATGTCTTCTTTGGAGAAATATCTGTTTAGATCTTTAGCTCATTTTTTGATTGGGTTGTTTGTTTTTCTGGTATTGAGTTGTATGAGCTGCTTGTATATTTTGAAGTTAATCCTTCATCAGTTGTTTCATTTGCTATTATTTTCTGCCATTCTGAGGATTGTTTTTTCACCTTGTTTATAATTTCCTTTGCTGCACAAAAGCTTTTAAGTTTAATTTGGTCCCACTTGTTTATTTTTGTTTTTATTTCCATTACTCTAGCAGTAGGTCATAGAGGATCTTGCTGTGATTTATGTCATAGAGTGTTCTGCCTATGTTTTTCTCTAGGAACTTTATAGTTTCTGGTCTTACATTTACGCCTTTAATCCATTTTGAGTTTATCTTTGTGTATGGTGTTAGGAAGTGTTCTAATTTCATTCTTTTACATGTAGCTGTCCAGTTTTTCCAGCAGTACTTATTGAAGAGACCATCTTTGCCCCATTGTATATTCTTGCCTCCTTTGTCAAAAGCAAGATATGCATAGGTGCATGGCTTTACCTCTGAGCTTTCTATGCTTTTCCATTGGTCTATATATTTCTTTTTTTGTGCCAGTACCATACTGTCTTGATGACTGTAGCTTTGTAGTATAATATGAAGTCAGGAAGGGTGATTCCTCCAGCTCCAGTCTTCTTTCTCAAGATCACTTTTGCTATTTGGGGTCTTTTGTATTTCTATATGAATTGTGAGGGTTTTTTTTTTGTAGTTCTGTGAAAAATGCCATTGGTAATTTGATAGGGATTTTATGGAATCTGTAGATTACATTTGGTAGTATAGTCATTTTCACAATGTTGATTCTTCCAACTCAGGAACATAGGATATCTTGCCATCTGTTTATGTTGTCTTTGACTTCTTTCATCAGCGTCTTACAATTTTCTGTATAAAACTCTTTTTTTTGTCTTCTGTATAAAACTCTAGGTAGGTTTATTCCTAGATATTCCAACTAGTTTTTGACAGACGTGTGTTTTCTAAATTAACTGGTCAATTCAGTTAAAAAAAAAACAACACCCCACCATTTGACTACATTTTCCCCTCAAATAAGACAACTCCTTTAATGTGTGTGTGTGTGTGTGTGTGTGTTAGTACTGCCTACATATATGTGACACTCAAAGTGAATAAGAAAACTCTAAAGACAGTTTTGTAGAGTCAGTTTTCTATCCAGCAATTACTTTTTTTCTCTTACTTTTCCATCAAAGAGAATCATTTATTAACATGTCTTGGAATGAAAAAACAATTTATTAAGATTTCACTTTATTTGAAACAAAAAAGCCTGAGTCAGAATATGAATAATCAGCCCTTTTCTATATTTTCATGCATTACAAAAGTCTTGCTATAAAATAAAGGGAAGCTAGCTAGTCAGGGTGAGCAAATGAAACACACATAACACCTTTCTACAATGTCTAGTTGCTTCATTAGAATGCTTCGTGAGAGTTGGAGAGTTTGCCCTTGGGCTGCCATTTATTGTTACATTCTTTTTCAGACCATATCACTCTTCTGTAGGTTCAGGGCTTGTGAACAAAGAAAAACAGATGCTTACCAACCCTGCCTCCTGTTGACTGATGTCCTGCAGATAGGGGATGGTTGCTAGCTCGGCCATTGCTTGATTGATCACCTGGGACTGCTCCTTTACTCTCTGCAGCCGGCTGAGAAGGCTGGCATATTGCAACTTCTCCATCACACCCGAGCACGCCCAAAAACTCCCCTGGTCCCCCAGGAGAAGGAAGTGGTTTAGAACAAAAACGCAGAAATAACCTCTCCCTGAGGAATGACGTCAGGGCTCGTTGTAATAGATTTAGTGCCTCTGAATTAACAGTATCTAGTGCAAATAAATATTTTCTTCTATTATTTTAGAGGATTGTCTGCACCCTTCCTTCAAATAGACAAATGTATAGAAAAGAGAACACTTTGTTGAGAAGGGTTTACAGAGGGCCCTGCCTAAGGAAGCCAGGATGAAGGGGGGCGGGGGGAAAGGGGATTAAATTGAATTTGAACTCCACTGTCAACAGTGGGGATCCCATAGAGCTGTGTCCATTTAAAAGGGGGTGACTTTGTCTATGTCAAAAATCACTAATATTGTAAAGTAATTAGCTTCCAACTAATAAAAATAAATGAAAAAAAAAATAAAAGGGGGTGACTTTGTCTATGTCACCAAGGCATGATAAGAGTTAATAGTTGCCCACTATTTGGTTTATACAAAGGATGATTTCTCATACAAGTTTAATCCTGAAAAATGTTATGCAAGTGGAATTTGTCCTACCCTGGTGACTTACATTAAATCTCTAGCTCTGATTTTATCTTTAGTTTTCATTGGATGGCTGTGGACTCTGGCTTCTCTCCTTGTGGTAGTGTAGTGTTTATTCTGACTCCTAGGACCATTCCAGCAATTGATGCAATCCATCTTGAAATAGACAATGGTGCACTTGTAAGGACCACCAACCCCCGTGAATATACTGGTATTTGAGACTTTCTTAAAACTGGGCACACATAATTAAAGCACCCCACCTATGTGTTTGCTACTGCCAGCCATAAAAGAGAATGTTTTACCTTCTCTAAGAAGTTTATTCAGATTGTACAACTTGATAGAGACATAGTTTATCATAAAATTCTCACATTTTTTATTTAGGAAGAAGTACGGGCTTCCAAGAACTTCCAGATGTTCAAGCTGGTTTTAGAAAAGGCAGAGGAACCAGAGATCAAATTGCCAATATCCATTGGATCATTGAAAAAGCAAGAGAGTTCCAGAAAAACATCTATATCTGCTTTATTGACTATGCCAAAGCCTTCAATTGTGTGGATCACAATAAACTGTGGAAAATTCTGAAGGAGATGGAAATATCAGACCACCTGATCTGCCTCTTGAGAAACCTGTATGCAGGTCAGGAGGCAACAGTTAGAACTGGACATGGAACAACAGACTGGTTCCGAATAGGGAGAAGGGTACGTCAAGGCTGTATATTGTCACCCTGCTTATTTAACTTCTATGCAGAGTACATCATGAGAAATGCTGGGCTGGAAGAAGCACAAGCTGGAATCAAGACTGCGGGAGAAATATCAATAACCTCAGATATGCAGATGGCACCACCCTTATGGCAGAAAGTGAAGAGGAACTAAAAATCCCCTTGATGAAAGTGAAAGAGGAGAGTGAAAAAGTTGGCTTAAAGCTCAACATTCAGAAAACTAAGATCATGGCATCTGGTCCCATCACCTCATGGGAAATAGATGGGGAGACAATGGAAACAGTGTCAGACTTTATTTTGGGGGGCTCCAAAATCACTGCAGATGGTGATTGCAGCCATGAAATTAAAAGACACTTACTCCTTGGAAGGAAAGTTATGACCAACCTAGACGGCATATTCAAAAGCAGAGACATTACTTTGCCAACAAAGGTCTGTCTAGTGAAGGCTATGGTTTTTCCAGTGGTCATGTATGGATGTGAGAGTTGGACTGTGAAGAAAGCTGAGCACTGAAAAATTGATGCTTTTGAACTGTGGTGTTGGGGAAGACTCTTGAGAGTCCCTTGGACTGCAAGGAGATCCAACCAGTCCATCCTAAAGGAGATCAGTCCTGGGTGTTCATTGGAAGGACTGATACTGAAGCTGCAACTCCAATACTTTGGCCACCTCATGTGAAGAGTTGACTCATTGGAAAAGTGCCTGATGCTGGGAGCGATTGGGGGCAGGAGGAGAAGGGGATGACAGAGGATGAGATGGCTGGATGGCATCACTGACTCGATGGGCATGAGTTTGAGTAAACTCCGGGAGTTTGTGATGGACAGGGAGGCCTGGCATGCTGTAATTCATGGGGTCACAAAGAGTCAGACATGACTGAGGAACTGAACTGAACTGAACTGAACGGGCTCCCTTGGTGGCTCAGATGGTAAGGAATCTGCCTGCCAATGCAGGAGACCTGGGTTCAATTCCTGGGTTGGGAAGATCCCCTGGAGAAGGGAATGGCAACCCCCTCCAGTATTCTTCCCTGGAGAATCCATGGATAGAGGAGCCTGGCAGGCTATGGTCCATGGGGTCTCAAAGCATCAGATACGATTGAGTGACTAACACTTTCACTTTCACGTCTGACATAAGGGGGTATATAAGGGTTTTAAAAAGTCTTGGTTTCACAATTTTGTGATATGTGGCCCTGGAAATAGGAATTTTAGCAACGTGCCCTCCTGAGTATTCAGATAACCTCAAACAGAAGTTGGAGAACAAACCAAAGCTTAGTATCTGCACATGGACTATTTTAATCTGTGCATACTCACAAAGCCAGATTCCCCCCTGCCCAGAAATTAGAGAAGGCAGACATGATTTTTTCTTCTTAAAATAGAATTTCCTTTAAGAAGAAAAATTATTAGAAACCAGCATTACTAAAGAACATTGAAATTTTAACTTGAATTTGGAAGACAGTCCTTTCTGAAATGTCATACACATCTTGATTGACACCAACCTTTCTGGCACTTTCTTAGAATCTTGGTAATATAGCAAAGTTGAGCACCATTGCCTTGTATTTGCTATATTTCTCCCTTACAGCTATCTCAGTCATTTTACTAATGTCTGTCAGTCCCCACTAATTTGGTATTTCCGATTAATCATTTATCTGAAAACCTATAAACCTGTGGGAGCAATGATAGCAAATTGTGGATTTGAGATCCTTTCTTTGAATTGAATTAGCCAGCCTACCCATTGAGTTTAAACATGTAGCTAAACAATGGGATACTGTCAAATAGAGGAAGTGAGTTGCAGGAGACACAGTTTTCTTTCTGAAGAAAAATTGCTTTCTTTGTCCTTCTTTAAAATAAACAATAAGGCTGGTTGTAGGAAAGTGGTGTAGTGACTCAACTCCAAAGAACAGAAACAACTGTGGCCTGCTCAGGAACATAATCTATCAGTGTAATTTTCCAAAACATCAGGAAAATAAAAATAGTGGAAGGCAATGGTGCTTTGTTAGCTTGATTGTTGGATGCATAACAAAACAGGAAGTGCTCTTTACCAATAGGATGCTAGAGAAAGAATATAGTTGAGTGCTAATAGTCCTCTCCCCCTCCCCCTTTGCCCACCCCAGACCAATTGCAGCTTTGGTTATTAGGAAATGATAGATTAATATTGTACCTCTACAAGTTTGGGGCTTTTGAGCGATAAAATGAAACAAAAATAAAAATGAATAGATGCCAGCAGGAATGCTTTAATGCTGTTGCTTTAGGAAAATAAAGGAAGCAATGAAAAATGAAGGAATTAGCTCACAAGGGCTAAATCTAAAGGGAAGTAGCCTTCCCAGTGAGACTTTAGGAGTGATCAAAAGACTGCTGAGCTGCTGGAGAGGGTATAATAAAGTGGCCAAGACTGAAGCTAAAACTGCACCTAGCTACAATGAAGTTTAGGTAAATAGTAAGTTCAGATGAAGGCTTCCTCCAGATACTTGTCTAGATTTAATAGCAGGTATGGATAAATGTTTGGAAGATAAGTGGCACTGCTAATCTAATATTGCTGAAAAGCAGAGGCCAAGTATTGGGAATGTATTTCTGTTTGACATAATATATAGAAAGATTTATTGCAAAGAAAAGGGGGTAGGAAACACATATTATTGTTCATTTCGAATGTGCATGTGTAAACATCTTTTATGCTTCACTTGGAAGAAATTAAAAGTGAAATTAACGAGGTATTTAAAACCTGGTTAGTTAGGTCATTTTTTTGGCACGTCAGCCTGTGAAAGAAGCTTCATGTATGGCAAGAGATTTTATTATTTTAACTCTTTAACATTTACCCCAGGAAGCATAGTACATAAGGTTTTAAACTGACAGCAGGCAATAAAGTTAATGAATGGAAAAGCATAGTAGCATTCAGTAGCTTGTGAGATAATTAGGACAAAGATCCAGAGAAGAGAAAATACTGGTAGAGCAGAGCAGCTGGTTGAATGGGATTGATGTTCAGTGGGATTAAAAGCCACCAGATAGGAAACTGGAAGAATCCTTTAGACAATAACTCTTAAAATGCCAGAATCATTCTTATTTGGCCATGTGTTGTATACTTAACAAAGGAATCTATAAAGGGAAGGAAACTGGTGTCAGAGTGTAAGGAGAATTATTTTCTGAGACATAGAAACCTAATACCAGGAATGTCTTTGTTGCCTTCACCAACTCTTTCTGCCTCCTGTGGCAAGAGGTGAAAATTCATGTTCTCTGGGAAGTCCTACTGTGGGCATGATGGGAGATGACACCCTTAATCCTGCCTTTTTAAGGAGATTTAAGTGCATCAGTGATCTAAGGAAAATCATTCAAAATCCGCAGGACACTTGCACAGTCTTCATTTTAGAAGAATACATAATTTCAAAGTACATGGCTTTTATAAAGAAAAAGAAGGATCTCCAAAACAATGCTTTGTCAAAGCAAATGAAAACCCATACAAATAATTAAAATTTTAAAAATTCTTAATACTTTACAAAGTGATTCAATGTGGATTGCATAATTTTGGTCTCATAACAACTGTGTGAAGTGAACCTGACATATATCAGCTTATTTTATAAATGAGAAAAAAGTTCAGAGGTTAAGTGACATCCTAGGGGTTACACAGCTGGTCTTAGACAAAAGTCTTTATCTACAGGTGTCACGAGGTAGGGTCACAGCTAATAAGGACACTGAAGTGTCTAAACATTCAAGCAGATGACATTTGACATCTGACAAGAAAAAACACACCTCAGGGGATCCTGAAAACACTACTGAGGGATTCCTGGGTCATAGTTAATCATACCTTGTAGGAATAATTTCTGCTCAGCAACTCATTACTTGTTTCATTAACCTAGATTACTTTTGTAGCTTGTTTGATTCAGTCCTGCTTTATGAAACTGTGGTTGGACATATAATAAGAAACCTAGAGGCCAGTATTTGGATATATTTTTGGTCCCTGGGTACCTTTGGACTCATTCACTTCAATTTATTCAAGCTCTTAGAGACAATTTTCCAACAACTATTATTTCCCATAGACGCAAAAGTAAGAAAGTTGATGAAATCTCTTGAAGTAGCAAAGTGTTAACAACTCATTCTCGGGCTTTCCTGGTGGCTCAGCAGTAAAGAATATGCAAGTCAATGCAGGATACTCAGGAGGTTTGATCCCTGGGTCAGAAAGAGCCCTTGGAGCAGGAAATGGCAACCTATTCCAGTGTTCTTGCCTGGGAAATCCCATGGACAGAGGAGTCAAGTTAGCTACAGTTCATGGGGTTGCAAAGAGGAGGACATGACTTAGCAACTAAACAACAACTGGCTCATTCTAAATAAGACTGAGTTATTCATTAGATGCTAAAAATCTTATTCATTATGATTTTTAAATCCCCTTTATAGACACATATATATCCATGTGTGTACACACTTCTAAGTAGCCAAAATGCCCTTTGTAATGTGAGAGGAAAATGAGTTAAAAGCATTTAAGAAATGCCTGATGCCTAGATTGGCCTAACCTTTATTCACAACCATTGGGAGGTTTGAACTGGCAACAGATTTGAGGTGGCAGGTTCCTGACAAGTAGCAAGTTATGGTGGGTATTTCTCCAAAGAACCATGGCACAGACAGATCACCTCCCCAGTATCCCGCACACTGGCACTACAAGGTTAGCCATGTGCAGATGAAGTGAAATGATACTACGTGGTGATGGTTCTTGTCAGCAAGGCTTCCACAAGAATTCTTGTGGGCTCCCCTGGTGGCTCAGATGTTAAAAATCTGCCTACAATGCAGGAGACCTGGGTTCAACCCCTGTGTTGGGAAAACTGCCTGGACAAGGGAATGGCTACCCACTCTAGTATTCTTGCCTGGAGAATGCTATGGACAGGGGAGCCTGGCAGGGTACAGTCCATGGGGTTGCAAAGAGTTGGACATGACTGAGTGACTAACACTTTTACTTTCTTTCCACTTCTTGCAAGGGTCTAATGATGACAATGATGTTATGTGTTTGTGTGTCTAATTAGGATGGGGTGGTGAAGCTGTCTCTGTGTGTGTGTGTGTGTGTGTGTGTGTGTGTATGTGTCTGAAGGAGGTTGCAATAGAGGGTGAGTTGGAGAACAGGACCTCAGATTTGCAGTAGAGTCAATGAGATTACTATAAACTAAATGTTTGTGTCCACCCAAAATTTCTAGGGCTCTAGAGGCCAGTGTGGAGATGGGACCTTTGGGAGGTAATTAGGGTTAGATGAGATGAGGGCTTCCCAGGTGGCACAGTGGTAAAGAACCTGCCTGCCAATGTGGGAGAGGCAGGAGACACAGGAAGATCCCCTGGAGAAGGAAATGGCAACCCACTCCAGTATTCTTGCCTGGAAAATTCCACGGACAGAGGAGCCTGGCAGACGACAGTCAATGAGGTTGCAAAGAGTTGGACACAACTGAGCAACCGAGCATGCACACGAGATCAAGAGAGTAGATAGGGTCCTGATGATGGGATTAATGCTCTTTTAAGAAGAGACACCACAGAGCTTGCTCTGTGTCATGTTAGGATGCAGAGAAAGTAGCTAACTGCAAGTCAGGAAGAGGGTCTTTGTCACAACCTGACCTAATCCCAGACTTCTAGCCTCTAGAACTGTGAGAAAATAAACTTCTATTGTTCGGGTCATCTGATCTATGGTATTTTGTGTGACAGCTGAAGATGACTAAGACAGAGATAAATTTTTACTAATAGCAGTATCGGGGAGATAATTGAGTGGAACACAGTTGTGAGGAAGGGGAAGTTACATGGTAGGAAAATCAGTGAAAGTGTGCTTTTGGATTTGTAACGCATAGAATTAATTACAGATTATGCAAATAGATGAGGGGTTTTATAGCTTTTCTAAATGCTGAATAATGTTACTGAGCAGATAAACTGCTGAACAGATGTTAAGTAGCTGTTAGTCATGACCCCCTTGGTTCCCCTTGTAAGGTAAGAACATCAAATCAATGATGGAATACAAAAGCCACAAATGGTGAATTCTTTAAAATTTCCAGCTTAAAGATCTTTTGAAAAATATTTTAAGAGGGGAAATCTGCAGCCTTTATAGCCTGTTAATGAGAAGTTCCTTTTATGTACTTTCAATAAAGGGGCTTAAATTTTGTAAAATAGCACAGATTAATTCAGGTCTTATTTTGGGCTTTTAATATAAAGACTGAAAAGTGGAAAGGGCATATTTTCCCTTGGTTGGAAAAAGGGATTAGATAATTTACCTTAAGGGTAAATAAAGATCAAGTGCCAATGTTTAGGTTAGTATTCGATTTATTAGAGATCTCTTCAAGAAAATAAGAGATACCAAGGGAACATTTCATGCAAAGATGGGCTCAATAAAGGACAGAAATGGTATGGACATAACAGAACCAGAAGATATTAAAAAGAGGTGGCAAGACTACACAGAAGAACTGTACAAAAAAGATCTTCACGACCCAGATAATCATGAAGGTGTTATCACTCACACTCACCTAGAGCTGGACATCCTGGAATGTGAAGTTAGGTGGGCCTTCAGAATCATCACTACATACAAAGCTAGTGGACGTGATGGAATTCCAGTTGAGCTATTTCAAATCCTAAAAGATGATGCTGTGAAAGTGCTTCACTCATATGTCAGCAAATTTGGAAAACTCAACGGTGGCCACAGGACTGGAAAAGGTCCATTTTCATTCCAATCCCAAAGAAAGGTAATGCCAAAGAATGCTCAAACTACTGCACAGTTGCACTCATCTCACACACTAGTAAAGTAATGCTCAAAATTCTCTAAGCCAGACTTCAGGAATACGTGAACCGTGAACTTCCAGATGTTCAAGCTTGTTTTAGAAAAGGCAGAGGAACCAGAGATCAAATTGCCAACATCCATTGGATCATTGAAAAAGCAAGAGAGTTCCAGAAAAACATCTCTTTCTGCTTTATTGACTATGCCAAAGCCTTTGATTGTGTGGGTCACAATAAACCGGAAAATTCTTTAAGAGATGGGAATAACAGACCACCTGATCTGCCTCTTGAGAAACCTGTATGCAGGTCAGGAGGCAACAGTTAGAACTGGACATGGAACAACAGACTGGTTCCAAATAGGAAAAGGAGCATGTCAAGGCTGTATATTGTCACCCTGCTTATTTAACTTATATGCAGAGTACATCATGAGAAACGCTAGGCTAGAAGAAGCACAACCTGGAATCAAGATTGCCAGGAGAAGTATCAATAACCTCAGATATGCAGATGACACCACCCTTATGGCAGAGAGTGAAGAGGAACTAAAAAGCCTCTTGATGAAAGTGAAAGAGGAGAGTGAAAAAGTTGGCTTAAAGCTCAACATTCAGAAAACTAACGGGCATCTGGTCCCATCACTTCATGGCAGATAGATGGGGAAATAGTGACTGACTTTATTTTTCTTGGCTCCAAAATCACTGCAGATGGTGATTGCAGCCATGAAATTAAAAGATGCTTACTCCTTGGAAGGAAAGTTATGACCAACCTAGACAACATTTTAAAAAGCAGAGACAATCCTTGGCCAACAGAGGTCCATCTAGTCAAGGCTATGGTTTTTCCAGTGGTCATGTATGAATGTGAAAGTTGGACTATAAAGAAAGCTGAGCACCGAAGAATTGATGTGTTTGACCTGTGGTGTTGGAGAAGACTCTTGAGAGTCCCTTGGACTGCAAGGAGATCCAACCAGTCCATCCTAAAGGAGATCAATCCTGGGTGTTCATTGGACAGACTGATGCTGAAGCTGAAACTCCAATACTTTGGCCACCTGATGGGAAGAGCTGACTCATTTGAAAAGACCCTGATGCTGGGAAAGATTAAGGGCAGGAGGAGAAGGGGATGACAGAGGATGAGATGATTGTATGGCATCACTGACACAATGGACATGGGTTTGGGTGGACTCCAGGAGTTAGTGATGGACAGGGAGGCCTGGCGTGCTGCAGTTCATGGGGTCACAAAGAGTCGGACATGACTGAGTGACTGATCTGACTGATTGACTATCAGTGTGATGTGGAGGAACTAGCTTTCAAAATTCTGAATTCTCGTGTAGGTAACAAAATGGTTATATGCAATTGCCCAATATATGAAATAGAGAAAGCACCATGTTTACTAAAATTTTGTTACTCATTTGAAGCAAGAAACTCAGTGCAACCTTCAATTAGATATCAAGACACCACAAAAAAAGGCTCTTTAAAAAGACACTAACCTAATAAATGCTGGCAACTGCAATGTATAACATTATAATTAATGTTTTGAATTATAAAAGGGTTAAAATCATTATCTAAACTTTGGTTGGTTTTGCAAATGAGATTCACTGTGGAAGTTTCTAAAATCTTCTAGTATTTGCAATATTTACATGTAAACTTTGTATAGTTCTAGAACTGTTTGATATTTGTATGCTGAACAAATACAAAAGACTCATATACCTACATTCAGTTGGGTGCCTCTAATAAAATCCAATATTGGCAAGATTCGCTTCCCCATTGTCTCCATGTGTCTCACTGTGTCTTCTTTGGTCAGCAGACCGAAGGGAGTTTTATGTTCTAAAAATTGTAACAATAAACTTTTATACTATTTTTTGCTAGACGTCCATTTCAAAATGCTTTTCTTAGCAAGCTATAAACAGACATCTCAATATTAATAGGTATGAAATCTTTAGTACAGGAATGAGTTCCATCTCAAAGACCACAGGTATCACAATGAAAGATCTATGAGAAGAAAGGCGGAGGAGACGTTGCCCTTTGCAGACTATCATTTATTCCTTTTGCTATGTTTCCTGATTGAGATCTAAGGGACAGCCTATAACAATTCACCTCTCTCTGCAGAGTATGCTTTTCCTGAGTTGTGAAAAAAAGGTTGTCATAAATGTGTCTGATTCTTGTCTTATTTCTCCCAGGTATTATTCAAGTGTGCAGATCCCATTGACTTTGAATGTAGCTTGAAGTTGAGATAAGCCTCGGAGGATGGAGTGCCAGACAAAACACAAATCCTTAATTATGTGAGTAGAGTTGAAGGGATAAATTCAGCCTGGTCATGAATTCAGCCCGCAAGTCTGAGACTTCAACTCTACATGAATATTTTCTTGATTTTTAAAAGTTTTCAACTAGAATTACTGAGCACCACTTAACTAGAATACTCTTTAGGAGAGCTGAGGTCTTGGTTAATTACATAAGAAAAAAGTGTAACAGACATTAATACAATGGCAGATAATCCAAGTGATTTAAGGGGGTCATTGTCTATACTTTTGATTTCATATGGTAGTTTTGCTGCATAATTTTCTTCTATGTTTGCTAATTGATGGTGACAAAAGCTTGTATTTGCTTGTATTCTGTAAGTGCCCCATGATTAGGCATTGGTGATAGTGTGATTGGGGTGAGATGGTTGGCGTGAGGGAGGTGGGTGCTCTTGGGGAACCAGAATTCCAGGTATTCTTGACTAACCCACAAAGACTGGAAGGAGTTAAAAATGACCCAACAAACGTTTTGGTGCCCAGGCCCTACTATATGCTAGGCTTGAAATGAATAAAGCTTAATGAATGATGCACATTATTCATTAATGAATAATTAATTGTGCCTTTAAACAGTATTGAATGATAACAAGTCCAGGTGAGTTACCTGTAAATGTTGGTAACTTCCTACTTAACGCTTTTTCCAAAAACTTTCCATCTTCTTTGTTTTTGAACCCAAGAGTCAAGAGATACTGTTGCGGAGGAAAAGATGACCAGTCAACTGTCTGAGGCAATACGTGGAGTCCTTGAAAGTCTAAAAAAAGTCAAAGAACAAAAGAATTTATCATTTTATTTTTTTCAGGGTATTTTCCCCCCTAGATTCCAAGAATTATACTTGGAAAAAGGGATAAATACAAAAATAAAAGATACAAAGTAAAAGTATGCGCATCAAAAGGTCAAATAGATAATATGTCAAAACTGTACTTTATTATTCATATTTTTCTTAAAATACAAGCAAACACAAAGGATAGCAATAAAATACAGCTAGGTTACTTGGTCCTCATTTGCCATATTCAACATAACACAAAACTTAGGACCACAGGCTTGCAGGCTTGATATTTTTCTGTGTGACACTTTTCAAGAGAATTTGGTTTTTCTGTTCACAGTTTAAGAAAATAATATTATATGAAAGGAAAGAGAAAAATTACAAGTAAAAATCAAAATATAAAGCTAACTAATTTAGTTGCTATTCCTCCTATAGCTGAATGAAATTTAAAATGATAAATGTACTGACTTTTGTAATTAGACTTAATTTTTGTAATTAGACTTAATTTTTGTAATTACTTTTATAATTAGACTTAAAAATAATTCAAGTGTCAAGAAAATGGTTCTAAAACAAACTCTGTTCTTAATGACCACAAGAACTAATATTTACTTAGTAATTATTTTCTACCTTCCCTTGTTCTAAATATTTTGTGTTCATTTTATTAATATTGTGTTAGTTTCAGGTGTATAGAAAAGTGATTCAATTATATATATGTATGCATATTTTTTCAGATAATTTTCCAAGATAGGTTGTTAAAATATATTGAAAATAATTCCCTGTGCTGTACAGTAAATCCTCGTTGCCTATCTATTTTATATGGAAATGTTTGTATCTGTTAATCCCATACTCCAATTTATCCCTCCCTTCCTTCCCTTTCCAGTTTGGTAATCACGTTTGTTTTGTGTGTGCATGTTCAGTCACGTCTCTTTGAGACCCAGTGGGCTGTAGCCCACCAGGTCCCTCTCTCCATGGGATTTCCCAGGCAAGAATACTAGAGTGGGTTACCGTTTCCTGCTCTAGGGTCTGCTCCTGACGCAGGAATTGAACCCATGTCTCTTGCGTCTCCTGCATTGGCAGGCAGATTCCTTACCACATGCCACCTGAGAAGCCCTTGTTTTGTGTTTATTCTCTAAATCCTGAAGATAACTTTACAACATTGGTACTGTTATCCTCATGTTACAAACAGGAGGTTGAGGTACAGAGATAGGAAGTGAATTGTCTGGAAACACAGCCTGTAAGTGGACAAAGCAAGACTCATGCTGGGCAGTCTGACTGTGGAGACCATGGGCCTAACCACTACACTCTGCTTTCGGCTTGCTTGGCTTTGGGTTACTTTTGGGACAGGGACAAATGTTAACCATGGGGTCTTGGAGGCCAGATTTACCTCATTCATTTCCGTTCTGAGTAATTATGCTTTAGTTATTACAATAGACTTCTCAAAAGAAGGATAATGAACAGAGTTTAATGAGCCCTCCCTACTTAACACTGCCAGGGAGGGAAAAAGATGAAATTCCAAATATCCTTGAATTATGATTTAGATGAAAAATTTTAATCTAGAATCAGAACTCAAATGGCAACAGTTCAAATATAGTCTTTGCTATCTGTAGTATTTCTTTAAAAAATAATAGACACAGTAAACCACTAGTGTTATTATCTGCATTTTCTGACTCCTCCACCCCCCTTTTGAGCTGCAAAACACTTTGTTTAAGCTAAAATTTACTGAGAAGCCCACTATTTAAAGTCAGTAAAGGTAGAGGTTTTCCATTAGAAGCCTGAATCAGTGACCACTGACCCTCTTTGCTGTACCCCATTTTATATCCCTCACACGGTAGCCATCTTGAAACCTCCCCTTCCCTACCATCACAGGCCCAGTTTTTTAAAGCACAGTTTGGAAAACACTGCCGCAAGCTATGTGGCACATTTTGGTTAAGTAAATAGCATATGGCTGTCAAATAGAGTTAACATGTAGGCTGATAATTAAAAGAAAATATTACAAAATATCTTGTAAACACAAGCACAGAAGAAAAATATGTTAAACATGATTTAGTCTTTGGTGACTCAGGATCTGATAACCACTCAGTAACACTGAAGACTGACAGTTACATGGCCCTTCTTCTGTGTCCTACCCAGATTATCCTTCTCACTCAATAACCACATAGAGCAGGACATATTATGCCCGCCTTGCAAATGACCAAACTGGAGCTTCAAGAAGTTACAAACTTACCCAAGACCATACAGCAAATGGAGGGACAGGAATTGAGAGTCAGGTAGCTGGACATCAGAGCACAGGGCTTAACTCTCAAAACGACCCACTGATAATTATCATCACTTTGACAATCAATGGGAAGCGAGTTCCAGAAGCAGGGCAATGCCAATATGTAGATGGCTTTACCAGACCCGATTCTAGGTTGAACACTTCCTTACTCTTATCTAGAAAAGTACAACAAAGGCTCAAGTGTTCATAACTTTTTAGGCGCTTTAAATGCAGATTGCCATACGAGATGCTTCTTTAGTTGGTGTTTGAATTCCAAACTCTTTTTAAAACGATGGCTCATTTCTGTAAACAAGGTAAAATGTGATTTCTGCATTTGCAGAAAATTGCTTTGCCTTTGAAATCTCCTGCAGATATTCACAGACACACCCAACCAAGAGTTTACTTGTTTTACTGAAGTTGCCAATCACCCAATCATGTGAAAAGGCAGCTAAGTAAAAATAAAAATGGATACTAGTTCGAGTTGTGTGCTCAGTCATGTCTGACTCTTTGCAACTTCATGGACTGTAGCCTGCCAGGCTCCTCTGTCCTTGGAATCTTCCAGGCAAGAATACTGGAGTGGGTTGCCATTTCCTCATCATTCTGATAAATGGTCATAACTTGTTTTTTTGGATTGCTATTATTCTTTTGCACTCTCTAAGAGCTGGCATTTCTAAATTGCTGGCATTTCCAGGAACTAGCATACTCTGGAGGTGGAGGGTAGGAGAAGGTGTGTGTTCCCTAGCGATTATTTGCTCTTTTATCTGATTTTGCTTCCTCACTTAGAAGGCCCCAGGGCCTTCGCGTCAGACTGGTGATGAAGTCTGAGGCCATCCTTTGGAGAGAGCCTTGGCTTTCTGGGTAACTCCAGAGCCCCCCTGAATGAGTATGTTTAGGGTGTGCTGTGCATGGGCTGGTATTTGAGGTGAGTCGCAGGAGGCATCTTGAGATTTGGCATTTTCTGATATGTTTCTATTGCCAGAAACAGCCAATATTTGCAGGGTCTGTTACATAAATAGAATAAAGAATGAGAGGTTGATCTCTTCTTGTTCTTAAATATTTGATGGATAAAGAGTGACAGTGGTTAGATCAACTAGAGAAACTAATATTAGCACTATAGCTAATTTATTATAAAATATATTTGCAAAAAGGTATTTTCTATTCCTTTTGGTGCTGTATGTTTCATCTTCAATCCATTGTTCAATTCCAGTTGAAGTTTTGAAATGTGAGAGGCCTCTATAAACATACTGCTAAATCAAAAACTATTTTTAAAGTATCATTTTTATTCCATTTGTATGCAGGGTAAATTGCAGTTGTGTGAACATTTAGCCTAGCAGGTGGTCTATGACCCAAAATGACGACATACTTCCAGATGTTGAATCTCATGTAACATTAATTTGAGCGCTAATTGTTCTCAGTTTTATGCTCATAAACCTCTACCTACGTCCGAAAAGCCCTGAGCCTCTGATGGGTATGAAAATTAACCAGATTATACTGTCCTGTGGTAGGAAAGTTGAATTGATTAAAGATGTCTTCTTTGCTCCTGTCATGTCAGAAGAAAACTTGGGGGAAATAAACCCCTTAAGGCATTTGTTTACAATTTATCACAGTTGCAGATGAAATTTAGATGACTAGGACCAAAACTATTATTAAAAGATCAATTTGCAGGTATGACACAGTTCCAAATTTTTACCATTAAAGAAGCAGATGTTTTTTAAAAAAATACCAAAGATAGATTATACAAACTTAGTTTCTTGTAGAAACAGGATCTTTCAATTCTTTGGCCTCCAAGTGAAAGATGTCCAACTCTCAGCAAGAGAGGGTAATGTTTGCCCTTTATCAAGAACCTTTTATTGTACCTCAGGAGGCTGGAGCTGACTGGCAGGTACTCAAGCCATTCTTGTTCTTTGACCTTCTGTATGTTCCCTCCTTTCTCCTTGAAGTCACATTCCTGAAGGTGACAGTTTCTGTCTTTCTGTCCCTCTCTTTCTGTCTGTCTGTGTCTCCCTTTCTCTCCTACCCACATGCCTACTGCTTCCCCTTCCTCCCTTTCTCTTCTACGCAGTCTCTGGCTTACTGATATTTTCTTCATATGAACACTCTTGGGAAAATTTCTCTGTTCTTGTGGCATTAGCTACTACTTCTAATCAAAAGACTGGGGGATCCAAAGCCATAGTCTCATCTGCAAAATTTCACGCATCACATTTCCCACTGTCTACTGGGATATCGCCATTTGTTCACCATTACAAACGTTACCTCAGAAGCAGCAAGTATATGCCTTGAAAGTGATTTTTGAAATCTCCACAACATCCCTCTCACCTTCTTTTCACTAGTATATTGTAGGAATGGCCATTGTTCACCCAATTATTTTGGCTTAAAATTTTGAAGCCATTGTTGACTTTTCTTTCCTCTTGTTCTCTGACATTTAGTGCATCTCAAAAGCTCATTAAATCTGCCCACTGTAATAAAACTCATATTAACCCCTTTCTTTGCATTATCAGTGCTAGCACACTGGTTAAATTTCTGATCACATAGCACCCGGATTACAGAAAACGTTTCCCAACAGGCCTTGTTACCATCAGTAACATTTCACACCGATGTATCTCCACACCACCAACCAGTGGATATTCCTGAAATATCACCAATATCACCTTTGTCATTGTCACATCCTTCCTCAGGAATTTCAGTGCTTCTTTCCTAGTATTCAAGGCTCTCAACTGTTTGCATGTGTTTCACA